AAAAAAAAAAAAAAAAAAAAAGTTGTGGTTTAACAGGAAGTGATGAGCTGAAATGTTTGAAATGCTACCTGTTTCTCAATTTCCTGTATTTGTGCTAACCTAACAGAGAAATATGAGTGGTATCAATCTTCCCATCTCGTCAAAACAGCGTGTTTTCAAAGTGTCATTCCTTTACAAAGACTTACATCCATTGAGTTTGATCTGTTCCTAAGCCGTTCAGTCACTCTGATTATTTTAAAAACTCCAGAGCCCCTTAAATGCAGTGCCACAAAGACACAGGCTACAATTTACCAGCTGTTACCAAGCAACAGTCTGGTTTCTGTGTGTGGTAGCAGGAGGCTAACAGCATGCACCGTGACACCACTCTACACAGGACCACCTGCCCACCTACTTCCTTGCAAACCACCTGCAGCACCAGTATCTGTTGCAGATGTCTGCTGGGACCTGCAGGTCGGCTCAACCCGTGCAGAGCTTTCAATGCCAGTTTGTAAAACACAGAGCTAGAAGACGAAACACTGCTAGCTTACTCAGCATTATCACAGCGACTGGAGCAGCTCCTCATACCTGAGCTTGGAAAATGCTGACTTATGTTTCCGTGGACATGTACAGAATACTAAAACACCTTGCATTTTACTATTCTCATGAGCCACTTGCACATGATTTAAAGTAAAACAACATGCATAATCAATATCATATGGAGGCATAAGAGGGAGATAGATGAAGAAAATTCATGAACTGGGATTTACAGAGAGGTTAAAACTTCCAACAGCATTAAACTAATTTAAAAAAGTCTGAAAATAACCTGCATAGAAAACCCGTGGCATTAATAGCCCTCATCCTCCTAATACACATTATTCATTATGGATCTCTCCCTCTCTTTCTCTCTTACTCACTTTCTCCTGCTTTGAGATATTATATTTCATATTAAGCTTACAAAAGGCTTTGTGTCAGGGCTCCACTACTTGGAAGTATTTTTTTGTTAAGCACCAGACTGAACCTTAACAGTTCACTAAACTAAAGCAATTTCAGAGCCATGTCTGATACTGGAATATCATGAGTCACGAATGAAACAGCTCTGAGTCAGAGGGGTATCATGTGAGCTGACGGGGGGGATTTTGGCGGGGTCAACATGAGGGAAATATTAAGAAGATTCATGGGTTTCCACCAAACACCCCTTTCTCCACATATCTCACTGCGGAAAGGGGAAAAAAATATCTTTAAAGGGTTACTTTGGTATTTTTTCCAATCTGGACACTATTTTCCCTTGTTTTTGTGACTTTGTGACTAATGGGAACAACTATTTTTTAAATTGGTTCATTATTAGGCAAAAGTGTTGCAGGCAGC